GGTGCAAATGGGCCGACCTTCAGTCTTATACCTGTTGGAATATAAAATAACACCAGGAATGAGAAGCAATGACAGCACAGAGAGCAGTACAGAACTAACAAACTGTAATTCAAGTATGTTAAACCCAGGCCATTTAAGCTAGACGTTACTGCAGTTTAACTCTCAGGGTTCACTGTTTTCAGCTGGGACCAGACACAAAGAATCGCCAGCAAATAAAATAGTAACCTGCATGATGAGTAGCCTCTCTGCCTGGACTGAGGGGAAGAATGCTTACAAATCAGGGTGAATAACCTTAGGGCTCTGTAAAAAGCATGGGATGTAGGTAAATGGCTTGTGTTTAGAAGCATTAAGTTTGAATGATGTGGAGAGAGGTTTCAGGGGCTGTCATTCTGAAAATAAAAACATTTTTGGAGATGCTGGATGTAAATTTGGGAGCCCAGCTTCGGTCAACAAGATCTTCAAAGGAAGACACAGTATTTAGGTCAGTTAATGGGAATGAAGCATCCTAGTTGTCATTTGTATCTTTGAAAATCCTTTCACTTTTAACGTTGTTGGTTGACTTGTGTCCAGCTTGTTTTCAAGGGGAAATCTGATATCCACCCTGGAAAGGGAGACAGAATCCTGCAGATGTGGCTTCATAGATCACTGCTGTCTGGCACAGCAATCTTCTCTTTCCTGCAGTCTGAAACCAGCTCTTAAAGATGGCTACACTAAGGAAGGCAAGTATTGGTTAACGCCAAATTGCCTTTAACTTCCATATTAAGCCTTTTTTTCAAAGGGTCAGTAATTCTTCTAGAATTAGTTCATTCTTCAATAGCTGCTTTCTAAAGTCTTTAAAGTTCAGTGTTAGGCCCTACCTTTTTTTTGTGTATCCAGCTTTTCAATATAGCATCAAAATCCAGATGTGTTATCAATAACAGCATTTATTTCTGTTAGAGAATATAAGCTGGAGCTTAAGCACTAAGAGGTTGAAAATACCTTATTACAGACTTCCTAAATGGCTGTTATGTCTATCCACTAACACATTCAGCTACCCTCCATCTTCTGCTGGAAATCTATAGCTCTGCCTGTTTCCACAGAACACAGATTATCCATTGTAGTCACAGGAAAAAACATGGCTTTACATCAATGGGCCTATGAACAATTATTATTTCCATTTTTTCTGACCACCTATTTAAGAGGAAATAATTCTACAACCTGCAGAATTTTTATGGGCTGATGTTCTGTGTTTTCATCTCCCCCTGACTTATCTAAGCTCAAAATCTCTGGTTTCATAAAATCAGAGCTGCTAACGTCTTTATTTCTCCCGCTGTATGTTCTGCGTGGGCCACAGAAGAGGAGAGGTGAATACTGGGAAGCATGGTGATCCTTGGAAATAGAGTCACCTTCTCAGATACAGTGCTAGAGGACAATTCATCCCTTTACTTTGTGAATTTATGTCTGTCCACCTGTGTACTTACCTCTGTGGCTATGATGCACTCATTCCTTTCTTCTGTTATCACAAAGACAGACTGGTACACTGAATCCCTCGGAGAGCATATCGCTGATATTCTGCATTCTGGCTTATCACTAAGGCAGGGTAGAGAAAAGGATGTTAGGTGACTACTAACAAGCCTGACTCTCAAAATCTACCATGAATATGGAATGGTGGAATGAGATAGCCATGAAGGTGTGGGAGGGAAGTGCAGAGGATCAAGTTTCACACATTCTGTATGCTGTCAAGATATAGAGAAGATATATTCTCTCACTACTAGAGAAGTGGAAGTAAGGAACAGTTACTGTCTTGCTATGCTCCTGCCATATCCAACCTAACAGCATGCTCCTCAGATCCCTCAGCGTAACAGCCACAAGCAGATCCCAGGCAAGACTTTCAGTACATTAGTTAGAAGACTGATAAACCAGCGCGTATGTGCTTTTTTCTCCTTTTGAAAAGGAGCAGTTATTTTCACTCCATCATTCTTCTCAGTAAGCAGATCATCTTGCCTTCTTAATAAGTAAAATACCTATTTTTAATCACTCTATGCCTTAATTGTTGTTCCTCCAAGATCTATTGATGAAAGAAAGACACTTCATACTTTTGCCACTGACGTAGTCACTCCTGTTCCCTTCACACTACCCATACTAGCAGCACCCTGCACAAACACTCAATTTAATTGACCTATAGCTAAGGATACCACTTGGCTGAGATACACATACTCCAGTATGGCTTTGCTCTGGTTTGTTTTGTGTATTATCTGCTTGAAGCTTCTTTTTCCTCCATATTCTCATCTGCTTTTAGACTGGTATAAAGATGGCTTTAAGAAAGACTAGAAGAAAGACTGTATTCTCACCTGTGTAGTCGGAGGGGAGACTTCTCTCCTAAACACTTTTCACTTTTGTAGTATTTATCTTCTGGTGTCCCTCTACTCGTGAGGTCTTTTACCAGATTGTAGTCCAGTTTATGATTCTTGGGTTTGTAGTTTGATTTCTCCAGCCCACAGTCCACTTCAAGGTCTTTATTTTTATTGGTGTTTTTGAGCTGGGAAGCTGGAATGAGATTGTCCTTCTGGAAATCTGACAGGTTGTTCATTGTCTCCAACTCCTGCTCTGGCTGCATCCTCATCTGCCTGATGACCATTGCTATCATGCAGAACAGTATGAGCAAAGCCACCAGCCCCACACCCATGGATATAGCAATCCAGGGGACTGGTTTAGGAGGAAGTGTAACGGGCACTGAATAAACTGGCAATTCACAGCGGTTGCCCATGAAACCAGAAGGACAGTAGCAGACAAAGTTGGCACTATAAAGTCCACTATAGCATGTGCCTCCATTCTCACATGGCCCAGAAGCACATTCATCTCTGGTTTTGATGTCACAGTTCCTGCCACTGTAGCCTGGCAAGCATGTGCAGGTATAATCATTGATGAGGTCGTGACAAGTTCCCCCATTGGAACATGGGTTTCTGGCACAATCATTGATGTTTATCTCACATTTCTGACCAGAGAAACCAGCCCGACAGCGACAAACACGGATCTGCCCAAGGTAGAAGCAACTACCATCTGAGAAAAAAAAAAGTAAAATAAAAATTAGTCTGCAATGCACTTTACTTGGAAACAAACCTCTCCCTGGTCAGCATTTTATGCTACCTCAAGAAGAGAGAGGTTATTTTCCAAAACAACTGCATATCTAAATGTTCATTCTACTTTACCTCATTTGTATCACCATGCCTTAAAATTATGCTCCTTCTAAATATGTAATAAAGATAATTTAATTCTGCTGTCTTTCCCATCACATGATAAACCTCATGCATTGTTTTGTTGTTTAGAAAATGCCAGTGAAAGCCCCCACCCAGCAAGAGACTAAAATTAGGGTAGATGTGGAATACAGTGGGGGAGAGGGACTAATGTACTAGAGGAAGACTAGAGGTCAGATTGGATTTCTATCACTTCTGCACTGAAAAGCACAAACGAGTCAGAGACATGAGATTTTTTGATAAAAAACTCACCATTTGCACACGGGTTGCTTGTGCACCTGTCTACCTTCTTTTCACAGTTTGACCCTGTGAAGCCAAAAGGGCAAACACAAGCATAGCTGGCCCCTTGTTCTTTTTCCAAGCATGTGCCACCATTAAAGCATGGAGAATCTATACACGTCAAAGCACTGTGCTCACAGTGAGTGCCATAGTAGCCAGGGGGACACAGGCAGTGATAACCGTTCTCCATATCCTGCAAAACACAACATTAGACCACTGTTATTTAATGGCTTCAAACGATTGCTGCTCGCACGCTTATTTTTGGTTAGCAGCAAGCACTGTTCAGTCCCTTCTCATCCACAGCCTGATGTGGCAAAAGTGACATTTGGAGAGTAAACAACAGCAGGCTGGACTGTGAGGGATAGAGCTGTGAATCAGCCGTATTCAGTGTACAGGAGTAATCATGCTGCTACACATGCAGAGAAGATGCAGTTGTTGGGAGCCTAAAGGCAGCTAGACAAAAACATTGCTAAGAACACTACAGTTTAATGGGGTCCCCAAGGTCCTCCCAGAGCAGAATGGTATGTGTCAACCTACACAGCTGTGATCAGGCCATTCATCCTCAGAGTGAGAGCATTTTTTTAGTTTACAAGGGTTTAAGTTGCTTTGACTTGGCTAAGTCCCACCACTTAGATCATAACTAAACTGTATCTTCTTCCCAAGTACTGTATGTGCAATGCCTTGGGAGAAGAGAGGTAGGGTCTTGTTACGTTAGCTTTAATCTAAACATGTACCGGATCACATTTGATATCTATAACCGATCAGTCTTTACCAATCTCATCATTGGTGAAAAAACACCATTGATTGGGTCTAAAAACACAACAAAACACTGAACTGCAGGAATCTAAAAATGCAGAACTCTGTTTTACAGAAAGTTTCAGCTGATTGCCCTCATATTGTCCCACACTGCCCTCTCAGAGCATAAAGCAGAAGTTTTATTTGCTATTAAAATACAGGATTAGTGCATTTCTGTATGAACCTTGCTTTGAGAAGCTTGTTTTTAACAGATCTGCTCCCTCACCAACCTTGGATCTTGCCAAGTTCTCATAATGGCTGCCACAGAAACCTAAGGATCAGTTGACTAGGTCTAATCTAGATGATACATCTCCTCCTGTAACAGACTTCCTCCCCTGACACCTCTCGGAAAGGGTTCAGTACGATAGTTGTGAGCGTCAGTAATGAACCTGTACACTATCGAATTCCCATTATGTTGTTACAGAACCATTTCTGAAAAGGTATACCAGGGCTTGCTTCACACAAAGACTTTACATTTAAAATGCTCCTACCGTGCAACTGCCACCATTCCTACAGGGATTGCTGTCACACTCGCTGATCTCATGTTCGCAGTCAATACCGGTAAAGCCAGGTTTGCATGCACACGTGTAGCTGCCCTGGCCAGTGTTCATGCAGGTTGCTCCGTTTTTGCATGGTCTGTGGTGAGTGCAGTAGTTCAGATCTGCAAAGATACCAGGAGTTAGAGAACACGTCTTTTGACAGCTGGGAAAAGATATACATACAAAACCACTGTCGTCAACAAAAAAAAACCCAGAATTTCCAAAGAAGCATTTCATATCACTATCAATAGGAATATTGGAGATTATTATCCAAGTTATTATCAGTAAGAATTGGTTGTTTCAGATTATCATAGAATTTAGATACTTCTCCACATTCATCACTGTAATACTCAAGCTCTGAATGCTGAAAGAGCTGGCAAAAAATTAACTTTCTTAGTGCTTTGGTATACTCTCCCTTTTTTTGTGGACATAAAACTATTAGCTGCAATGGCATTTAGGTGCCAAATTGGAAAATGTACTTCATAAGTGTGTGTGTTCTCCGAAACATATATCACAGCACTATAGACACTCTGTGTACAACATGTCATGTACCCAAACAGAGAGCCCCATGTTCAAAAGGTGTGCTCTGAGGCACATTCTGGAGAGGCAGGGAGGAAAAAAAAAAAAAGAAGATGTTTTGGCTTAGAGATTTGAACAAACACTAGAAATCTTGTATTGTTTATTTACCATCCTCTCTTGTTATGGATGTTAGTAGATTAAACTGTCAAATGCTCTGCCAAACTCGACGGTTTTCTTTTTTTTCCCTTCAAATTTGAGGCAGAGGTCAAGCACACAAGTTCATAGGATTGAAAACCTTTATTATCTATAAATACCATAAAGTAATTGGAATACAACTGGTTAATAGATAACTACAAGCAGAAAAAAGTCTGCAACTTTACTTTTCCTGCTTAATTCAGACTTTGCCATCTTAATCCTATAACTGTCCTGAAAACACTTAGCCTGCTTTGAGCCCTTAATGACCTCAGTGCCAGCAGTGCATATATGGCCTTGAGGACATGACTGCTTAGCTGGCTATGGTTCAGTGATTCAGTGGGTTGAATAGGTGGAAGTGGTCTGGTGTACCTTAAAATGGAACCTGTACTTTTCATTCTTGCTTACATGATTTTTCTCTCATGCTCCAGACTTATCACATGAGTTAACTTCCTTGTATGCAAAATAAGGAAGGCACAAATGATAGTGTTTACTGCTGCTGGAAACTATTTAGTAAATTGTTATAGTTGTATAGGGAATGAGTTAAACTTAGCTTGAGCAGGCAGAAAACTTGTTGCCTGTTCAACATTCACCCGGATTGTTAGGCCTTTTTGCAAGAGAAAAACTGCATCTACCAAAAAAGTTTCCTTGATTTCATACAAAACTACAAGAATTCGTATCTAAACCAGCAATGGTACAAACTGATGCCAGTGAACATAAACCTTGTGGAAATTTAATTCTAGATCCAAGGGGTCAGATTCCTTACTGCAGTACTGAGGAGTACCCAATCTAGAGCCGTAAGAACTACCTTCAGAACTAACCTTGATCACAGAAGAGGCCACCCCATCCTTCATCACATATGCACTGCCATTGTGTTTTGCAGGTCCCGTGGCGGCAGCCTATATGGGGAATGCATTCATCACAGTAGCGGCCTTGCCAACCAGGACGACAGCTACAAGAAAAGTCAAATTGAAACATTAATGACATGGAGAAGAGTACAAGGTGACATTTTAAGTGATGTTCAGATTGCAATTGCCATCTACTCACATGCACTCTCCGGGCTTGTTGCAATATCCATTCTGTTCAGTACATCCAGCCAGACAGATGGCTGTAAAGAGAATATAAAAAAGCATAAATGTTGACGTAAATACACATGGCACTACAGAATACACTTTTAAAGGATAAATGCTAGCTTAAAAAAACCCAAACATTGAAAAAACAGTTTTGCACTTTCAACGCTTTCTTTTAAAACTTCTTAGTATGGGGAGTTCTGGAGCAGGAGGAAGTTAACAAGGAAAGCCAACAACTGACAAGTTGTCCTATAGTTTTTCTGTTTATGCAACGAACATGAACTTTTGCAACTCCTGCTAGAAATGGAGCTTGACTTGTGCTAAGGAGAGACTGAAAAACCCAATGGAACTCTGAGCTTGGAGTAAAGATTCCCACTACTATACTGCAACACCTGTCTCATACCGTCCGGCAGCAGAAGGAATGGTGGAAGCTTTTGTGGGAGCAAGCCGCTAGCCTTTTGCTTGGGACCAGCTATTGCTATTCAGGGATATCAGCCAAGATCCCTTCCCTGCTAGCTCACTCTTTGCTCCTAAGGCTCGCAGAGGTGAAGCACAGCCTTGGTCGTTGCAGTCAATGGGGGCAAAGTCCTGCACAACTTTGTCTCTCTAGACAGGGAGTGTAGAGGCGACGGCGTCAGCCCGGTAACGGCACGCAGCGCTTTGACACAGCCTCCTTGAAAACCAGTGTTTTAAGGGCGAAACTGGACACAGGGACAGGTTCTTGGGGCCTGGGCCCCTCCACTAAGTAAGCTCCCTGCTGCCTTTTGGGGCTGCGCTTCCCCGAAGGCCCCACGAACGCCATCCCCGCCCCGGGCT